CCCCCCCGGCTCGGTCCATAATTACCCGATACGCAGAACGCGGAACAGAGCGCGGGTAAGTGCCGGGTAAATGTGCGCAGCTATGAGCGTAACACCCTCCGTGTAACATCCGCGGCTAAATTTACCCGCTATTTTGCCGGGGCGCGCGAAACTTCGTTTCGCGGTTAAATCGCTTCGCAGTACTTACCATCAACGAGCATTAAGCGCGCGCGCACGCGGGTCTGAGTAAGTTCTCCGGAATCTCCAGATGAGGATTTCTTCGCGGCGAGTCCGTAGAACCGTAAAATTGACCCTCGTCGAGCCGCTGCCGCCGTCGTCTCGCGCTTCGTTTAATTTACCATAACGGCCGTAAATGTTTTTTTTTTTTCATTCAGCTCCTGCTTTGCGAGAACAAGATGTTACATGTAGGATTCATAAAAGGAAGAAGAAAAAATAAGGAAATAAGATATTAAATCGTTGAATGCGGATGCGTCTTCATCCGAACCCGGTCTAGGTAAACTGTAAGGGATAACTGGACAATGTTACTTAAGAGGTATTTGTTGTTGCGTCGAGTTGGAAAAATGGATGGAGCTGGAGTCAAACACGTTCGGGCGAGGGTATGCGCGAAGGCGCGTGTCGAGGTTGTGGCACGATTCACTCTACGAAATACAGCACACATACATATATACATAGGATGATTAAAATTTGTATTAACTAAATTTAATAACAGTGCTTAAAGTGTACAAGTAGTAGAAAAAGTGATTCTCCTCTTAAACATATATCTACAATAAAATTGCACCCACATGAGAGAGGGTTCGGTGGCGTAACTGATACCGCTGAATAAATACACGCGTAGGACACACAGTGATCCTTCTTTACCATTCGACCGTTTCTCGTATTATCTGCTATCAATTTCATCATTCAAAAAAACAAAAATCACCACGCCGTTCCCATTACTCAGCGGCCTCAATTATTCCACCTCATGTCAACAAAAATAAGCTCCGTATAAATAACATCGTAGGATAAAAAAAATTGCGTCAGTCGCGTTTCCCAGGACCGATGTTCTTTTGCGTCAACCACGCCGGATCGATGACAGACAGACCGCGAAGGTAACATCTTCCGGTGGCTACGACCTCCGTAAACAGCAGCAACGGCGGCTTCGTACCGTGCAACGTCGAGGAAGGGTGTATGGTTACCGGCTGCTTCGAGTACACCTATGCCGAACGCGTAATGCGATTACGCGATTACCATTCTCTTTTGCTTGTTTACCGATGTCGGAAACTCGAGTAAGACAGAGATAAAAAAACAACAAAGACGAAACAACAAAGGTAAAAATTTGAAATTATTTATGACGTGGTCCGTGCATATCTCTCCGAGACTGCTCCTTAAATTATTTAATCATCATTTAAAGGAAAAAAGTTAATATTGTAAAATAAATGAAAAGAAAAAAAAAGAATGATCGATAAGCTGCTTAATTAAAGTTCACTAAAATGACATAAAGAGAAATAATTAAAGTGTAAAAGTTTCAATGTGATAAAAGATATGTCTACAAAATTAATCATTATACAATATGACACATTTAACAGATTCATTAAAAATAAAAACTCAGCCTTAATCGACGAAAATTTGACAATTCATATAGATTAATGGTTGAAAGAATTCTTCCTAATATCACACTTTTACGTATTAATTCATAATAAAATTAACTAGGAAAGGAGAGAATAATCTTCAATATAATACTAGAGAGAATTGGCAGTAAGAAGAATGTAATAATGGAGAAATAATATCGTGAGAGAGAACATTTACTTACCGTGACATATGTCTGATCCCTCTGCAGCTCGGCGAGGTTCTCGTATAATCCCTCGAGGAAAGCTTTTCTGAGTTGCTTCGTATTCGTTCCGCAGCTCGCCTTCTCCAAATTCGCACGTTCCGCCAACGCCGCAAGCTGTTGCCTCACATCCGACCCGTACTCCAGATTTCGATGGTGCAAAAAGTTCTCGTGGCACCACACCTTCTTCTGCGTAGCGCTTTGATATGCTCGGAACACATTCAGCAACGTTACGTGATCCCCCTCGGGCGAAGCAAATCTGGAAATCCCCCAATGAGAGTTACATTAAATAATAACATATAGCCAATCGCGAGTCGTGGTGAAAAATGCACTCTGTATCCACCGAGACAGTATTGTTTCGTAACAACAGTGTTTATACAGATTTCATCTAGATTTCATCTTTTCATTTAATGTTTTAACGTACTCAATATTTTTTAACGATAAAATAAGTTGCAAACAAGAGTCGTACCGTGAGCGTGCATTGTACGCCTGTTCTCTCTTCATGGGCGGGTCCATGAAAATTGATTCTCCCGATAATAAAGCGATAACCGTCAGTGCTTCCTCCAGACACCTGTGTTCCACCGACGCGAGGATCACTTTGGTAAATCGAGGGTCTAACGGGAACAGTGACATCGTTCGGCCGAGCGTAGTCAGTTGCGGTGGAGATCCTTTCAGAAGGGATTACATAAGAATTTATTCTCTCTCTCCCTCTCTCTCTCTCTATTGGAATAACTCCCGTTACTCGCATCTTGCTCGATATAATGAAATAAAGACGCAAACAGCCAACAGTAAATCGATTAATCGTTTTCCTTCCTCACGTCTCAATCTCAATATAAAAAAAAATTCATTACATTTTAATTTAGTATTAAATGAGAAATTTTATTTTAATTCTTTCATTTTTAAAATAGCACAAAAATTAATAAGAAATTTAATAATTTAATAAGTTACATAAAAAAAACTTATGTTCTTCAAACGGAAAATGTATTGAGCAAAGCGTTTTCATTTTTGTAAATGAATCGGATACTAGTAGCCTTTACCTTTAACTGCACCCAGCTTTTCCAAACAGTTCACGGCCACGTCTACGCCCTCCTTAGGCGGTTTATCCATGAAATCGAAGGAAGTGATGTCGACGCCGATAGCGAGCAGCTGCAGAGCGACTCCCGCGAGGGAACACCTTTGAATCTCTGGTATCGGCATATCCTTCATCTTCTCGAATTCCTCTCGCGTGTAAGCTCTATAACACTTGCCCGGTGCTTCGCGAGCGGCCCTACCCGCCCTTTGCCAGGCCTGAGCCTGTGAGATTTTCTCAACCCTCAGTACATCCAGCCCCGTCGTCGGGTGATGTGTCCTCGCTTTGACGACGCCGGTATCGATCACGTGGCAAATCCCTATGTTTAACGTTTCTATTAAATTATCAGGTCAGATTTTAAACCGATTGTAAGTCAGGTCGAAAAACACAGCGCACGCCATGTAATTAATAAGCTCAAATAAGCGTGATGTTGAAAATAACATAATTAATCACGCGCAGCACGTCGCTTCAGTAATCGCGTTGCAAAAACTCCATAAAAAGCTTTTAAAAATAAACTTCCTTTACATCCTGTCTTATCTTTATAATTATCGTAAAAAATTTTACTAGCGTAAAAAAATCTTAGCGCTGATAAAAATATTTATTACCTCTTCTGTTTTTCCCCTTTTTTTTACTTAAAAAATTAAGAGAAAGGATAGAGGATAAAAATATATGTATATGTACGTACCGCCAATCGTGACGGATGTTTCGGCGACGTTTGTCGATAGTATTAATTTCCGCATTCCCGGTGCCGAAGGTTTGAAGGCCTCTAACTGCTGATGAGTGGGCAGCGCCGCGTACAAGGGAAAGACTTTCAGAGGCGGATACTCCTGTCCGTCCAGCTGTTTAGCCACTTGTCGGGCGGCTACTACTGCCGATTCTATTTCTTCTTGACCGGTCAAAAAGATGAGAATATCCTCGCTAGAAAATTAGAAGATCAAACAATTAGAATATAACTAGAAAATAATTGGAACGTGTGGCTCTATGTAAAAGCGATCAATTAATAGTAACTTAATAGTTGATGGATTTTGGATTTGATCCCCGAACTCTCGTGCGTGCTTCGGTTTATAAGAGATTGATTTAAAGTTCGAGTAAAGAAGTGATGAAATTGTAATCCGTAATGTTTGGAAACAATAAATTCTTTAACATACTAGCACATAATCTATTCCTGTGTACGTCCACTCTCTCTCTCTAGAACGTATATAATTTATAATTCCGTGTTAGAATTTCGTGCCAGTTTCTTACTTTGCGGGCGCCTCGCGGTGAATTTGAAACGCCGTAGCTAGCGCGGCGAATGCGTAATCCTGCTGCGAGGTGACCGCGTGGAAAATCCTCACGGGATGCTGACGGCCCTCAAGATACAGCGCCGGCGCCTGGAAGTAATCCTTGAATTTGGCGGGGTCCATCGTGGCCGACATAATCAGCAGCTTCAAGGGCGGCAGATTCTTCAACTTCCGCAAATTCTGCGCTCGTCTCGCCACCCCGAACAGAACGTCGGTCTGCACGGATCGCTCGTGAGCTTCGTCGAGTATTACCACCTGTTGCAAAGTTATAAACTCGTGCAATAATCGGATAAAGCATGTAGATAAGCAGCAAAAGAGGAAATGTGGAGATTTTCTAATTTTCAGAAAGATTACTACGAGGAAGATTAAATATAATACTATTTGGCGGAAAAGCCTTAATTTTCAGTTTTTGTTAAAATATTAAAGCATCTAATTTAACTTATAATTAGAGAATTTAATTTAAAATAGATTAGATTTAATTTAATTTAAATTTATAGAATATATTTTATTAATTTTAATATTTTAATTTATAGAATAGATTTAATTTAAAATAGATTATCCGGAATACAATCGGTTCATGAAACTAGTAAATTGTATTATAATAATATCTTTCGTTGTAGCGCAAGTTCATTAGCTAAAGCTTCGTTATTCATTATTATTATTTATTAATATAATCTCCTTCTTGTCCGATGTGCATTGTAATAACTCCTTCAAATATAGACTCCTCCAATAACCACGTCGCGCTTAGTACTACAATTGTGATAATATAACGATAATATTACCGAGTAATCCGACAGGATTTCGTCGGTCATCGCCTCTCGCACCATCATGCCGTCCGTCAGATACTTGATTCTCGTTTGCGACGAAGTGCAATCCTCGAAACGAACACAGTAGCCCACCAATTTTCCAGGCTTCACCCCTTGCTCCTGAGCGACCCGGCGCGCTATGCTGACCGCCGCGATCCTACGCGGTTGCGTGATGCCGATGCAGCCGGACGACCCAGCGATCCCGGCGTGGAGCAACAACTGTGGGATCTGCGTGGTTTTACCGCAACCGGTCTCGCCTATTATGATCAGAGTATTGTGCCGGCGTATCTCGTCCAACAGACTGAAAACAGAACACAAGTGATCACTCCTCTTATATAAAGATGGCGATTTGAGTTATATAATGTAAATAAAGGATATACAATATTAAATGGAAGTACATCTGGTTAATTTGATGAAATATATTTATTTCTGAGAGATCCTTCAGAATCAAAACTTAATTTCGAAATTGGAAATATTGCATTTACTAAAAATCATTATCAAAAATTAAATTAATATATATTATTTATATGTAGTTTTTAATTAATACATATTATTTATAAGTAGTTTTTTCTAATAAAGATAAAAATATATTACATTTTTTATATAAATGTGTAGATATATTTTTAGAAATAATTACAATCCTTTTATGTATTTAAATAATTATTATATATTATTATACATACAATTATATGTACATATATAATTATTTATAATATATTAATATAACATATATATTATATTATATATATATAATTATTTAACACAAACGGTTTGATTGATAAATAATAATATAAAAAATAATATAAAAAAATAATATAGAATATATATATTATATCATATATATATAATTATTTAACACAAACGGTTTGATTGATAAATAATAATATAGAAAAAAATGGCAATATACAAAAATATATTTTTAAATTAGTCAGCAGCTTTCAATCTTTTCTAATATTTCAATGTTTTATAACATAAAAATTACAAAGCTTTTGTATATTTTTCCTAAATTCTTACAAATTGCATAAGATTGTAAATAAACGAATTAAACATTAGTATCATTTTCTGCTTTATCGACGGCAAGTGTGCGTCGTGAACGAATAAATTATTCCCGTCAGAGAAATCCTACAGGATCTTTAATTCCGTTAATTAATTTTCAATCAGCAGTGAGCCTCTATTTTGAAACATCCTGTATATGCGTCGCGTGTATGTATGTACAGACATAAACATCGCGCGGACCTCACTCCCTTTTTTTTCTTTTGTGACGCGTGAAAGGTACACACACGTCTCTCTCGCTTCACTCGGGAAACACTCACCGTTTACGGAGAATATAAACGGGCAGCGATTTTCTCCGCTGGTGCAGGCCGACAACCGTCTTGTCGCTGTTCCTCGTCGCGTTCGCGACTCCGTTGTCCTCGCTCGTTTTCTGCGCCTTGCTGGAGTTTTCTCGAAACACGACGGTGCTGGGTCGCTTCATGGCCAATTTCGACGACTTCCCCATCGCGCTGTACTTGGGATCCGCGTCGTCGTGGACCCTCATCTCGCCGCGGAGCCACTCGAAACGTGCCGGACGTGCGTGTACACACTGTACACGCGTATGTGCCACTTGCGGTACTCGCGACACGATCAAGCACGTGTTGCGCGCTACAGCTGTTCCCGTACTACTCACACTGCAGGCAAACTGCAGCTCTTACTCACTCACTCGCTCGCTCGCTCGCTCGCTCGCAGGACGCAGCTCGCTGTGTCCGCACGCCCTCTCGACGTGAACATTCGGAGCACCACTGTGCCGAGATGCCGAGTGCTCGGAATAATTTTTGTGTATGCACCGGAAGCGAATGAATGCGTGCGGCACGGACAAAGAATACTTGCGTTACGTGTTTCCAGGGAAGGGAGAAGGTCCACGTCTGTGCACATACAAAAAATCAATATTTTACAATAGAAAATTAATTGATATTAACAAGATAATAGTAATTATAAAATTTTGTAATGTTTAAAACGATAAACTTAATTTATTTATTTAATATATAAAAAAATATATTTTTCTACAATATATTTTGTTATTAAAACAATTTTTTTTATAATATCTAAATATATGTTACATAAATTAGATTATGTATGTATATATATATATTAGAGAGATATTAATTTTTCTGTAAAAAATAATAAAAAACTATTTCATAAAGGAAAACTATTTCATAAAGTTACAAAAATCCTTAATTTTTGGAATCTCAGAATTTTTAAAATTTCACAATTACACATTATCTTCAATTTTTAATAAAATTTATAGACAATTTTCTAATTAAAATCATGAAACATATATATTTAAAATCAATACAAAAAATATGTCTATTAATCTCTTTCAATTGTAAGTTTACATCTTTCGCTTCCTTCTTCGTTAATTTATTTAACATATCAGCAATTAATTTCAAAGAATGTAAATGAACTTCCTAATCAATAATTATATGTTTATATTTTTTTCATTGTTATCACTGCACTGGCGCGAGCCGAAGATTGGCTCAATATGTTTCGTAATATTTCAAATATTTTTCATCGTAAAAAAGAAGTACAAGAGTCATAATGAAGGAAGATTCTCGCGAATTATCTGTCCTCTCTGACTAATGACATTAAATGTGATGATTTAATGCCAACATCGGCCTGTGCACACCGCCTTTTTATCATATATCATGTGTCATACAACAGTAATGTACTCATATCTCAACGTTGTCAAAATTAAGTGGTCACGAGAGTTTTTTTTCATCAAAGAACTTTGGGAATGTCGCGTATATTAAAACTTTGAGGCAGAATAAATAATGACCGACCTTTATCATGTAATTTATTATTTCACTAAAATAAAATTCATTATTTAATTTAAAATAAAAAAAGACAATGATTAGATCGAACATTTATTATATTACATCAATGTATATTACACGTCAATTATCCTACGAACAAGTAACTTCGCAACGCTTACTTTTTATTTTAATTGGAGGTAGAGAAAACGTGATTCACGCTCCACCATCCGTGAATAAAAGATATAATTGTGTCATCGTTATTAAATTATAAAAAGTTTCATATTATCGCATACGTTAATAATTGATCGAAACTGTCAAAGAAACAAGACTACGATTGTTAAAACGAAGTCTCGAAGGAAATTGCGTTACGAAATTATCACAGATCAAGCTGTGTAATAGGAAGACACAATGAGCGAACATTTCGAGATTTAAAAGTATTTTTACACACCTATTTTCTATCATGAATTTGCAGCTAAATTATCATCGTAATGGTCGATGAATCGGCGTAATCGCATGTGGTGGTACCTAGAATTTAAAAATCCGCGCGTTATTAAAGAGTTTACGATTTATATTCTGGATTTTTTTTAGCATTACAATGCTTTTGCTCATCAGTATATCAGCCAATGTTACTTAATGCTAAAAAACAAAAATATTTATAGTTTTGAGCGATTTACCATTGCACCAATGCGAGACAGGTAACGATTTCGTATACTGATGTCAGACTGCGGTTGCATAAGACTATCCGCTGAGAAATCCGACGTGCATTCCGACGACAGCAGTTTTTCTCGCTCCAAACTTTCGGGCGTGCATTGAATCGCCTCGTATCGGTCTCTTTGTCCTGGCGTCATGTTGAGATAACCACCGCTTGTTGCCATGTCCGACGCCCAGATTGCACCGGCGGTTATCAGCGAAACTGTTGCAACGTGAAATGTATTATTTTTTTTATCAAACGTTCCTATGTGTTATTTTCACGCTCCTATGTGGAAATCGTATTGTTCGCTTGGAATTTCCAAGTTCGCGAAAATACTCACTCCAGAGCCAGCCGAGGAAGAATATCTCGAGCATTAAATATCCACCCTTGTCGACGATTATGCCAGCCACAATCGCGACTACGGCGAGACCCAAGTTTTGCACAGCTTGCGCTCTAAAAAGAAGATCACGTTAATTTTATTACTTCTAAGCGACCTTCGGCATTATTTCGCTCCGAGATTACCGATGAATAAATACTCACATCCCGTAAGCGGTTCCAAGTTGATGCTCTGGCGTCACGAGAGCGATCAGAGGCCACAGGCTACTAGCGAGCATCGAATATGCCAGCCCCATGATAATCATACATACGTAGGGATTCACGTAGGTGAACGCGAGCAGACCATGAGCAATGATAGTTACGCAGATACTAATAAATACCCACGATACGTTTTTGCCCGTTCTGTCCACTGCGAAACCTAAGAGAGGCGAAGCTATCGCCGATATCGAGTAAACCAGAGAATTCACCGTGTTCGCGGCGGATGGATCGTATCCGTATTTTCGTTCGAAAAATACTCTGAAACAAAATTAACGAAACATTGACCTCTTTTTTTTCTTATATAAAAATATATATATAAAGTTATACATAGAAGATTGAATGAATTAGCTTCTGAAATGAATTTTAATGCGATATTACTATTTTATGGACTTTGGCTAATGCGATTTAAAGGTCGTGCAATAAGTTTTTATGCTATTCGAGCACTTACTTTCCTAAAGCGATAAAGGGGAATATCGCGACGTAGTAGGCGATGCAAATGATCGCGACCAGCCAAAAGATTGGTTTGAAATCCTTGACGTCTTTTAGACTAACGACCTGCGGTTCCTGTCCTTCCCCTCGTCGGAGCAATCTCTCGGCCCGCTTGTCCATGAAGCCCAATGCACAGGCGCATATCATCGACATCACGCAGGTGAGGGACGCGAGGAAGAGAACTATGCCGATGCACATTGGGCCCTTGTAATATTGGGATACATAATTGTACACTGGCTCCATTACTAGGAAGTTCACGGTCGATCCCACTCGAGCGAAGCTCAGCTGCAGCCCGAACACCATGTTCAGTTCTTTACCTTTGAACCAGAGAACCGCGTAACTGTTCTGAGCGACTGCCAGCGACTCTGCGCCAATTCTGCCGAAAAGAAACAATTGTTAATTTACGTCCTTCTATCTAGAATTGTCTAAATAATAATTCTACCTGGAATTGTATAGAAATTTATACAATTCTCTATATAATAGAAATCCTGCTATATAATAAAAGGACGATTCTAAAATATTCTACATCATCCAACGAAATGGTAATGAAAACATACCCGAAGACAAATCGGCCAAGCATCATCAGCCAGAAAACGTCAATCATAGCGCCACTCGCAAAAATGATCTGGCCGATCAACGTGAGTGCCATGTATATCACCGTACCTAGCCGAATTCCGAAGACGCTGTCCAACAGGAACCCACCGATGAAGCACAGAACGACATTCGGCCAGGAATATATGGAATATAATAAAACAAATGTGCTAGTCGACATGTGCAGGTCAGTTTTAAAATTATCCTGCAGCGCTCCGGGATTATCGAAGCAAAAGTACGAGCCTGAAATAATAAAGGACATATACGTCAATCGAGAGATCTCTTGTAGAGAGTCGCATGCATATGTTGAAATGATTTTTTAAAAAGTCTAGCGCTTATTCTCCTTTCAATTAGATAAACCAGAATGTTATTTGCTAAAAGCTTGACTTCACTTTGATAATGCAAAGATACCATATCATGTATGCATAGCTCGATTGTGTCATAAGTTCTAACATCGCTTATACAACATATGGCCAATATTAAACAAAAAAAAGGCGTGATAAACCGCACAAAGAGAGCGTTCATGATACGCCTTATCTAAGCAATGTCAAATTTTTCTCGGCGATTAATAACAAGGAGACACAAGATAGAATTCGCTTAAACATTTTCCATTCCGGAATTAATTTAACTAATTATTCTCTCCTTATTGTTCCTCTACAAAATTTCGATTATTGAGTCACAATGAAAGCATTACTCATACACGTGTAAACAAACAAGTATTAATTACATATTGTTGGCATCGCGTTTTATAAATTGAATAGATTTTGCTCCATGAAATGTCAGAGGTTTTAATGTTAAATTAATAAGTTCCATATAAATAGTGCGAAATATTAAATTATCATACTTGGTGCTGAAAAGTATTAAATAGCATTAAAACGAGTAACATTAAAAGAACAAGAATTCGAGAACCGAATGAAATCTCGTTTGAAATAAAATACGCCCCTACGTGTGTACAGAGATGAAAGATGTGACAATGAATCACGCGAGAAGCGAACCATCTATTATGCATTTCGTTCGCCGAGCAGTCGCGAGTCCGCTCTTTTGACAATGACACCATTCTGGCGTGGCGCGCAGCCACGGTGACAGATAAAAACAACGTAAAACGACGTGTAAACAACTTCGCGTTTTCGCAAAACAGTTACGTCAGCTCCGTACCGAATCCAAGCAGACACATGAGGGCCAGGCCCAGAAATCGGTAGGGCGCCTTTTTCGGGCTGCAGCATCCCTGTAGGGCCGCCTCGTCCTCAGATCGGTCCAAAGTGTCGCCGCTCGAGTTCTCCGCCACGCCTCCCTCCATGTCGTCGTCGTCGTCGTCGTCGTAGTTTATCACGATGCTGTTATTGTTGTTTGTTGTTGTTTGGAATATTGTCGAGATTACTGGTGTGTTGCCACGTTGCTCCGAACAACACGCGTGGCCCACTCGGCAGGCAGGTCAGTCGAATCCAGACAACGATCAATTTGCGCCGTTGTAACGCGCAGCGTTTTCCTATCCTCCCTCTTCACGTCATCACCGCACGCGAGTCAGGCGAGCAAAAGGAAACGGCGGCGGGCCGCGATCGACGGGAGAACGCCGATCGACTACACCGACTGCGTCGCGCGGCCGCCGAGCGCCGTCATTGTTGAACGGTTAATCTGTCAGTCAGCGCGCGTCGGTCTGAGTCATTCAACAAGACGCACACACGGCACGCAATCGACAAGTGACGCGGGCGACGGGCCCCTGGGACTTCCTTACGTGGCAAAATCCCTACGAGTCGTAAAGTGCCAACCGGAACGAAGAGAATTAACTAAGATATACAGCCTCTGCTTGCTGAATTTTTCATATTCTTTATCTTTTTTTTCTCCTTTCAAAAAAGTCCGAAGATATTTTTTTACTTTAAATACAGGTTTAACTTTTTTGTAGTGCAAAAGCTACGAAAAATAAACTTCTAATCTCCTTTGCATACTTCACGATCGAGGCATAAAAGACGCTCTTATCGATCGACTTATCGTGCTACGATACAAAAATAAATTTTACAATTTTTTTAAAAACAGTATTTCTCAATCCTATAAAAATTATATGCCGAACGTTTTCTTATTTCTCTTTGATAGTTCTCATAAAATTATCAAATTAGCATTTGAAGAATTCGCATATGTGGAAATCTAAGACCTGATTAACTTAAAACAAATCCTAATTGATTTAATCGACGATTCATTTGTCTAGTATTTTATTAATAAGTAGATAAAATTATTAAATTTTTTTATCCCATCTTTCCTACACTTAAATTTTCTTTCTCTAAATAAATACAGCAATTTAAGGAAAAATTCACATTTGGAGATGATTAAAAGGAAAGAGAGGGACGCGTTGGATAACGCCGGGCCTAGATTTTCACACATTTATTTCAAAAAGGTAACTTATGAGTTTACGTGAGACTGCTTAAAACTAGTTAAAATTCGAATATTCAATGAACAATTAGATGATTAGAAAATGAAGATGGTATCACCAGCTTTGTAGTCATTTATCTTACTTAACTTATGAAAACAAATAAAAACTAGCTTAACCAGTGACTTCTTCGGTCGCGCCCTCTTCAAACTCGAGCTTCACTTGACATTCCTCGGGAAGTCCCTCGACGTCGACCTCCGTCTCGGGCGCGTTCAGCATGTTCAGCGTGACCTCCGCCGATTTTCCCATGAGACCCTGGTTACCCGACGTCGATTGCTGCTTCGCAACTACCTGCTGCTGCTGGACTAATGTGGTCTGCTGCGCCGGCTGAGGTAGAATCTGCTGCTGCCTGACCGTCATCCCCGCCTCCTCGAACGCCTTCTTCTTCAGGGTGGTCCGAATCTGGGAGCTGGAAGAGAAAGCGGTACGTGTGAGACTCGGACTGACTGCCACGACTGGCAGTCTGTGAGAACTTACACCGTCCGACTCTTGATGTGCTCGCTTATTCTGCTCAACTCTTCGCTGAAGACCCTGACCGACTGACGGAGCATCTCAATATCCTCGTCAGCCCATTTACTATCGAGGGGGATAGGAAATCATGAAAAAGAGCATGGGGGGACTACTGTAATCGTATAAAATGATACTCCAGTGGCATATACCGCAAATTTAAGGCAAGAGAACCTACTTTTTACAACAATTACATTACAATAATTCAAAAATATTCTATGCAAATCCTTTTTACATTTTTTGAGACCTGATTTTTGTGAGTTGTCACAAGATATCTTGTTTTGCTCTTTATAAATTAACCTTTTATCCTTTATTTCCTTAAATATAATGCGATATACTACCACAGAATCACTCTACACAAATATTGCCAGGGCAATCACGATATAGGATTCTTAGATTTTTTCTATAGTTTCATCAAAATTACTTGTATTTTCTGAACATCGACCAAACGTAAGATTATCTGCATTTTTACCTCCAAACAATATATCTCACGGGTTGCGATAGAATTTGTACGTCTAACTTACCCTGCTAGGGAATCTGATGTGGGATGGAGCTGCATCGTGAGCTCGCCTAGCTTGTTGAAGGCCACTCCAGCTGCGGCAAAGATCTCGCCCACCTAAGCACAAATATCTTATTTAATTTTAAGTCATACGTATGTGTTCATTAACGAGAATAATTAATATATTTCGACTAAAATTTCTTTCACTGTCAGTTTAACCTAAAAACACAATAACACTTTGCTTTTATTCGACGTTACATTGATTTTCTTCCTTTCCGTTTCTTCAGTCGTCGACATTGTATAGGACTCGCGAAACAAAACAAAACATAGCAAAAATGCGCGAAATGATCGGCTTTTATGCTCACCTTGCTCGCAGAATTCATATTAGTGTTTTTGCTGTTATTGTTATGCCCGATTATAACCGTAACGCAAATGTATGTACAGCAGCGCCGTGCTTCGTACATTCTTGACACTATCTCGAGTTACCTATCGTCGAATAAGTCTATAATAATTTTATCAATCGAGGATTGTTACCGACATTGGTTTCCTTTACGATCGCATCGGTGAAAATTTAAATTCTCAAAAGTCGACAAAGTATAATCGGAAACAAGGTAAAAGATAACGCACGAATATAGCAAGATACTTAATAAAGCTAAAAAGTTTAAAGAATTATAATTTTTTAAATTTCCAAAAAAAGTTTTAAATCTAAAGATTTTTTAAATTAAAATTGAATTATATCAGAATATATATCAGAATAATATAATCACGTAAAAGATATTAACAAAATTTATACGTGCTAAAAATTAGTGTGTAAGAATCTGAATAATTTAAATGTTCAAAAATAGACAAATTAGTGGTAGAAAATAATCAGCTAAAAGATGACGCGCTAAAAGTCCCACATGCGTAGTAATTTGAAAAGCTTTATTTATTACAAATTGTCTGTCGTTATCTAGGAAAATTATTACCGCTAATGTCAATACAACACACATACATACGCAGTTTATGATGTATATTTAGATGCGATGCGCGTGGAGTACACTCGCGATAGACGTGCTCTATATAATTTTACCTTTTTTAGGATTGTGAATGTATGTATACAATCGCACACATTTGCCCTTTACGATTCCTGTTTTCTCTCGTAAATTAAGAGCATGCGTCCCCATTCGTTGCCGGCGGTGACGGTGACACTTTGAAAGCCCAGCCTCCTCAAAATACCCTCTATGTGCCCCATCGGATTCCTGTTGCACTTCAGCTCCTTCAGCAGCGGAAAGTCCCCCAGCTTCGCTCTCCGCAGCCTTCGCGAGGCGTTTTTGTAGCATCTCCAAGGCTGCGGCTCGACGACGATCATTTCCGCGAGCTCGCAGACCCTTCGCAGAAACTCCACCAGGCCGTCGTCGCCGTGATTCAGGTGGATCCACATGGTGATCGAGAAGCAGAACACCACGTCGAATCGCGTTTTATTAAGCCGCGCCAGATACCGCCGCAACGTCTCGCCGCATTCCTCGGACAAAAAGTCCAGACACTCGAAGGTCACGCGATCCGGGCGCGGATTGCGCTCGCGCGCTCTCTCGATCAGGATCGGGTCGAGATCCACGCCGATTAAGGAGATCTCGGGCCGATCTTGCGACACGGTCTCCTCGAGGAAGTCGCGCAGACGGTATGTGAGGTCCTGCGAAATGCGTCATATACAGAATAAAAAATTAAATGCAAATTATATATACGCATAAAAATTTGATTGATAAGCACGTAGCCTTTTAGCCACAGATCGCGAAATCCAAAAAATTATCTTCGTCTGATATAAAAATTTGACGAAGTGTCGTCACACTTGTAAATATTTCTTAAATAAAGTTAAATATTTAATCTTGAATTGATTGTGAAAGTTTAAGATAAAAATTTACATTAATTAAAAAAAACACACATACAAAGATCGTTAGTATTTAAATACGCAACAAAGGATTTTAAACTGACGGTTGTATTCGTCGAGATAAAACGATCCCATCTGCATCCTCTAATTTAAATTCGAAATATTAGAATTAGAATAATCAAATTAGTTACACGTTGTGTTTTCTTAATGAGACTTCCGCTTGGAATTATTCAAGCAACCCTCCAGCCAAGAGGGAAACACGCGGCAGTTGTGAGGCATTACCGTATAATGGAGAAAAACGTATTAGCTCCAATAAAGAGGAACGAGGAAAGAAGAGAGAAGGAGCAAATAAACAGGAAATTTCTAACAAGGACAAAGGATATCCGCTTCCGAATTTCCGGAAGCGGATGCTCCGCTGACGCGCGAGCGAAAAACCAAAAGGGGATAGACTTCGACCAAAATTAGACGCGCCCGTTTTGTAGTTTCGTATCACGAAGGCCGGAGTTCATCCCGTTTTGGCTGGCCCAGTACACACGTCCCCGCCGACAGCTGGCTGTGCCGCGGCCCGCGCCGCCGTCGCGCCGCCGCCGTTGCTCTTACCCCGGCGTTACAGCCGACGTCTAGACCCGCGTATTTCCGGGCCGGATGGGCGACCCGTTGCCGCTGCCACACGCCACGCGGAAGTTGCCGCACGCGCTCTTCCGCAGGATGGAATTGGTAATAATTCATGAAGTTCCCGTGTCTGATAGCGCCCGGATCCGTTTTCTCGTCGCTCCTCTCCTCGCACTCGCCAGCACCGCTGTCGCACATTTTGTCTTTACTTTTCGGAAAAATCTGAAACGCACAAGGAACGGGAATGTTGCTACGCGCCGTACGTGATATGCATATATGTGTATATTTAACTGGATATAAAAAACAAAGAGCGTATGTACTAACGATTACGAAAATAAATATTAAATGGTTATTAAATGGATTAATTAATCTCAATATGTAATGCATATGTATGTTTAACTGGATATAAAAATAAAGAGCGTACTGCATAAAAATGACCACGAAAATAAATATTAAATAGTTATTAAATCGATAAATTAATCTGTCAATATTAATGCATATGTATAATATATATATAGTAATTCACGAAATTGATCAAATCGTACCATTGTTACAAATTTCTTTTCACAACTCGTAAAAAGATATCTGTAATAAGATTATGGAAAAATTTATTTATTTATATGTATATTGAGACTCTGAAAGGCTGCTTGCGTCAATTGTCTTCTTCGAATCAGTTAATCGTAGATTATTGTTGTGTAATACATTTCATCATGTTTCGTGAGTCTTTATATTATACCATATGCATATAAAGAAACATATTAATATACATATGTTATTGTTGGGAAATAAATAATTGTCACGCTGGAGATAATGCTATTTCTCTACGCGTGAGACAGACGGAAATTCAAGCATTTTAAGACAAATCTATGATTTCGAAAACTGGGTGTTTAATTCCATATGAAATGGAATTACTCAACTCAGTTCCATTTCTCAATTCGGTGTGTGACAGAGAGTAATACACAATGTTACGTGGAATATTGCAATAGTACGTATACGATGATGGTGACAACACAATGACGACACTAACGAGCGGCAAACAGACAGAGAGCATTAGAGGAAGAGAGAGAGAAGGAGAAAGAAAGAGAGGGAGAGAGAGAGAGAGAGAATAGCGGCCGCAAGAGAAGGTCAGGGGGACCTACCAAGAGCGGAAGGACCAAACGGTCAATTGTTAGTGTCCGCGACCCAAATAATCGTAGCCTTCGATCGCCAGACGACGGAGCGTGGAAAATTATCGATAAATTATTTTCGCTGTGAATAATCCGAGACTGTCACTGATTAAAAGGCAATGAAAAAAATAAAAACCGTCATTGCCAATCGATTGTAGAAATACTGAATAAATTCTTGCAGCAAGACATCGAAAGACATCGAAGAAGTTTATAGAATACAAGTAGAGAGTGCTCATAAATATTCATTATCAAAAGTAGGGAGTTGCGATGAGAGAAGCTCTTACAGAAGCGAGCGTCCTAGAGGAGTAATTAAAAATATTTGTTAGACGACTGTTAGACAGCTGTGAATAATTGAAACCCTTTTTGCGCGCCGAGACAAGTTTTGTGTGTCAAGGCCAAGGAAACGCTTATAAGTCTTTAGTTACAGTACGTAAAATTACGGAGAATATTTCGATATTCTAATTTCCTTCGAAATAGGTAAATAGGCTAATTTTTCTAAAAACGCTTAGATTATTAGCTTTCACGACTTTATATATTATTATCTTCGTTTATCCTTGATCCTGTTTGCATTTTTTACACAATGTTCAGCAAGAACAAAGGAAAGTTCGTCCAGAATCCGCTCGTCCGAAAAATCGCTCAGATCTTAAAAGAAAAAAACGGTCTTGTGAAGTCAAATAGGGATTAGCGACGGTATAACCCTCGAGTCAACCGAAGGTTCAGTGAACAATGAATATCCGGCACAGCGGGCGGTTCTTCGATTTCTTATTGCGTTCCCATTGCCAAATCCTTCCGCGGCCGGTCTACACGGCGTGCACGGATTGCCAAATCCGGCTTGTGATCGTGAGGGCATATACGATATAAACGCGCGCGACCGATATGTGTTTACACGCTCGTAATCGCGCACCGATCGTTACCTAATTGCCTTGCGCGCGCGCGCGCCCGCACGGTTCCGACAGACAGAATTTTTCTCGGATCGAGTAGGCGCAATTTCGGGCACCTCTCGCGCGGCTATTTTCATTTTCAATACCGTGAGAACACGCGGCGGAGGCGTCGCCCTCGCGTTGCTCCACGCGACACTCCCCGCGATGAAATTGCACACTCTTGCGAAAGCGCGCACCGTCGACGTCAGTCGTAATCGTCACAGTTTGCCGAGGGAAGGATATAACATTTTGCCTAATTAGCACGCTCGATTACCGGGGCCCCGACGGGTAATTAGCCGAGTAATTCCGGACTTGTTACGGCGATTTAAAGCGCGCGGGATTTCTTGCGCGCTGAGATAATGAGCGTCCCTATCGCCGATTGCGACAAATATCGTGACCTGCCTGTATGCATCCGCGCGCGCGCGCGCGAATTGCAACAGTGACATTGGCGTTAATATGGCCTCATTTGCGTCGCAGACGCAACGTGCACAACCGTCAGGTGGAAAAAAGCACCTTAGAGAAATTCCAATGTCGATGTCCCTCTCTCTCTCTCTCTCGTTCGTCGCCGCGCGTCGCGAATTAAAGCGTCAATTTTCATTGTCGTTACGCTGAATAATAAAGAAATGAGAGAAAACAACGGGAACAGTCCGCCTGTCTTTTTTCTCTCGAAATACGGAGATGTTTATAACGCGAAATTAATAAAATTAACGCGTTCAAAATTCATTGTGAAAAATATGCCGCCTGGAACGGCAATAAAAAATATTTTACACGATGGACATGTAAAATGAATTTGCGTTGCTAATGCTGAGCGTGCACGCGAGATGAATGCTGGTTTTGCGCTCTTTCGAAACGCAGAGCATTTCGGTAAATCGTCCCACGGCGCGGGACAATGAACTCACGTGTGTCGTCACACGTGCCACATAAATGACGCGATCGCGATTAGTCATCTGAAATTAACATGGTCTTCGATCTTCGAAAGGGAACGGGCCTAGGGGCACACTCTCTGTTGTAACAAGCTATCATCTTGGGTAACGCGCGTGAAAATCCCGAGATGGGCCCCGTCTCGCGATAGAGTGTAAACCGAGCCCCCTCTTTAACGCGTGATTTTCGTGATGCTTCGTCGAGATAGACTTGTCTATCCAAAATTCTCAAATTTCAAAATGTACACACGATATATCTACAATCGTTCGGGGAACAACCAGAGCGTAAACGGGCAGATGCACAATTCAAATCTCTCCTTCGACGGACAAAAATTCGGATCCCAAAAGGATTATATTGTAATAGGAATTTAACAATGTATGCAAGTGACAAAGAACCTCGCTACTATCCTCAATTTGAGGATAAGTGTACAATAGTGGACAATTTGCGAGGCTCCGCTAGAGCTCCAAATCTAAATATCCCAATTACAGTTTCTCAATAATGTATTCTCCGACAAAGTCGGCCCGCAGCTACGTACACTTTCGGTAGAGAAAGAAGCGAAAGGGTAAGAAGAAGGGTGAGCGTGGCGCCTGGACGAAACGCGCGCTGGAAACCGGTCAATGGCACAAGGGAGGAGGGCAGCTGCAGTGGAGGCTTTTTGCCCCCAATCCGATCCTTCCTTTCTCGCATCTCGAAATCGTGCGAGGGCAATGTCTGCTGCTTCGGAGCAGGTAAGGCAAAACATATACCCCGGAAGTCGGCCGTAAAGCGATCTGTTCCGCGTGCATCCGGCCGCATTCATTCGTCCGTTTTTTCCCCGGCCCCCATTCACAGTAAATCCGATTTTTCCGGATTTTCGGATGTAGGTATTGTATACTATACGTCGGGGATGTGTGTGACAAAACAGATCGAGAGAGATCTCGCTAAAAGATATGACGACAACGTGCGTACGGCAAAGGCATCCGCGTATACAAGCCGCCCCGAGAAAAATCCAAAGGGGGTGGGTACGGTCGTTACACCGAAAAGTGTACCTACGTACCTCGAGAGAGCCGATCGCTGCCACGTGCGTCTTTCGATTCTCCACACACGTGGGTGGGTCGAACGTGAAATTAACCGCTGAAACAACTTAATCCTGCATCATTCCACTCGTCGTGCAAAGTGCCTTTCCTCCGTCTCCCACGATCGAAGCGGAAATACCGTTGCTCCCCTATGGCCGAAGGACGCGAAGTCACCCAGGCAAAAAGAGATGCTAAAACAAACACAATTCGTAGATGTGTAAATATCCAAATAGTTCTTTGTCAGTGAATATGTTGTTATTCATACTCATTAATATTGTTATTCTTGATTAACAGATCGAATTACAAGGGAGCGTAAAGTTTATCTTTACGGTTTACGCTACGTATTTTTGCGGGGAGAGCTACTTATCTCTCGTATGCTTATACACCGCACAAAGAACCGACGTGCATTATCTGCCTTCCTGTTTACGTTTCACCGAAAACGTCGAGGGTAGCGTTTATCGTTTTACGTAATAAAATTTCGCAACGTCGTTCGATTAACATCTTGCATTAGTGTGACATTGAAACATTTTGCTAAAACGACGACTTCCTCGAGATTCTCTGACGACTCGATTTTTCGTTAAGGCGCGATACGCGATACTGTGTTTTGCACTTTCAACAAAGACCTTTTATCGCTGTGTAATATTACAATCGTATCTTCAGATACGCGTGTTTTTCAGACTTGAGGCGGGGGAAAAAAAACATTTCGGAAAACAGAATTAGAGCGCTGTCGTATAAAACGGAAATTTAATGTGACTCAATTATGAAGCAATTTTCGAGCTGACGATAATACATATATGTATAGCGTTACGACTTTCTAGAAACGTTTAGACATCTCCCTGGAATTTGTTTGTGCGAACGTTGCAGCGTGCGGTGCCGGAAGCGGATCGTATAGCGGATGACGCAATTTCCGGGACGCAGCCTTAAGAATTCCAATTCATCGCGGTATCGTCGAAATCCGTTTGCTCAGCCGCTTCCCTCTATTTTCGTTGCTCGCTGTCAGTCATCAATCCGCGCAGTTTGTTCGTCTCGCTGTCCATTCTCGCTGTCCGTTCTCGTCGCCCGCATCGGAGAACGTGTGAGAACGGCTTCTGCACGTTTCCAGCGCTTATCTCCTCCGCCGTAATTCGACGCAATTCTTCCTCGCCGTGATAAAAGCGTGCACGCTGATGGCGCCGTAGTTGACACTCTCCGCACTTGAGATTCAAGGTTTCTAAGTTATTTATCCTCGATTATGATTACCGACTTCTTTTTCGCAAAGCCACAAAAACAAATTGCGCGTCTGAGAATAGCATTAGCGACGACGCTGCGCGATATGTTAAAACAAGATCGATAAAAAAAAATTTCTATATAAATAAGAAAATCAAGTTGTAACGTAAGCAAGCATAGGTACTCATGAATTATTGGACATACATTTATCAGATATCGCGAAGATCAAGATGTAGAAAAAGTGCCTCATCCGTGTAAAAGTAACACATTATACTGCATAAAAGTATAAATTTATACAATTAAGTGTGTTATTTTTGAACGGATGAGACATTTTTTGAATGTGCAATATAGAATCGTGGTATAAAAAAAGATTCTTAGAACGTTTTATTATGTAAGCAGATATTCTATTATTAAATATTCCAGAAATTTTATAAAGGAGAAACAAAAAAGTTAGAAAACCATTCTCAAAAGATTGGTGTGACGTGTCACATCATTTGCGCAAATCGCACGTCTGTTTTACCTTTGTGTGTTTAAGGATTTATCCTCATTATCGAGATAAAAATGTTTGGTGAAGCCTTTATGGAGATAGACTTGCAAAATTAACGCGATCTCTCTCTCTCTCTCTCTCTCTCTCTTTTATCGCTTCTCCTTGATGGCGAAGAGAAGATAAATTGGAAGGAAGCCATATTTCACAGATAATATTTCTTTTTGAAATATATATATTAGGTTGGTCAGAAAGTCTTTTCGTATTTTCAATTTTGACACAACCCAATATATATATCGTGTGGATTTTCTGATCGCGCTATCGGCGAGTGACGATCGTTCGCGCCGGATCATATCGATGAGATCCGCTCGTCGGCCTTCGATCGTTCTCGATAAATCCTCGAACGTATGTACATACGTTCGGCTCCGAGGGATTTAAATGTTACAACTAGGTCATCCAAGCAAGGATAAGCGTCGCGACGGAGATTTATGATTACACGCGCGCCGCGGAGCCGAGGAAAACCTCGAACGATGTCAAGTTCGATCCTTAATTCATACCTGCTGGCGTTCAATAAAGAATCTATTGCGGCGCGAAATGTTCGTTTCGAATCTTCGAAAGTGTGAATAAAAATCAAATCAATCCGAAAGATTGGTAAATTCCCCTAGTTTTCTCACTTTAATTTTATTCTTACTGCAATGTATTTAATTGAAAAATTGTTATTGATTTGTACGGAGCACCTCTGAAATCAGACGCGTTTCATATTCTTGCATATTATTGCACCATAGATGCACTTCAGTGACACACGTAGGTTTTACACGTGACAGATGTGTAATATCTATAGTTTGATTAGAATGTCACAAGCGAAGAATATTCTTTCAGGTCTTTAACCTGAATTTCTGTAGATTACATATACTTACTTTTATAAGAGTTTATCGCAGGAATATTCTTGCTTTTGACGTCATGCGTCACAGACCTCGAACGGCATTTTACGCTCTTAACGGAAATTTTACTGGAAATCTACTGCTTATCGCAACTACTTTATTTTTTATCTTAAGTATCTAACGGATGCATTTCGAATGAATGTCAATAGGCGAATAGCATCGATTTAAAGGAAAAACATCGCTTAAAACATCGCTTGAACTAACGTGCGAAGTTTGTATGTACGTGCGTGCGCGTGTGTGTCGGCTATTAATATTCTTGAAGCTTAGCCCTAATTCGTGACGTTTCCGTCGAATCGATCATCAATTAGGTGAAGAAAGCTAATCTTTCCGCGAGCAGAACCTCTTATTCCCCATCGGTCGGTGATTGATCCTCGGAAATTCGAAGAAATCGTGAATTATTAGCAATCGGCCGACTTGCTCGTGCGAATCAATCAACTTATAAGCACGAAGCGCATCCGCGATATTCGTACAAAGGTTCGCCATTTATGGAAATACGCCTGTCCGTTTTTGCAACAGAGTGTTGTTTATCGCACAGTATAATTCAAGTGTTTTACGTCAATGCGTGAAAAAAGTCTCCAAAAAGTCCCCTCTTTTTTGTCTCAAATCGCAAATGGAGTTAATTTATATTGATTGACATCCTCCTTTTTCGACGAAAAAGACGTCAATTTATATATTCGGATAGTGAAGTAAACGCCGTCGAATGTCGCGACACTTCCTAAAGGACGCGATTGCGCCACGCCGAGGCTCGGAGCCGCGTTTCCGCTAATAGTGCAACCACGCGCGGGTGCGCCGCGTGCTCGCGCGTATGGGGACAGACGTTGCGTTACATTAGCAGCTCTCGTTACATCGCCGCATGTGCGGCGCACACGCGTGTGGAAAATGACGCAAACTGAGGCGCGAATGAGAGTATAGCTTTTGCCATGCAAATGATCTACACCGGCACGTCGTAAGAGCTTGCGTCAGAAAAAAAAAGAAGTCTGGAAACGAGAAACGACATGTGACAGAAAATTATAGATGCGGAAGGCACGAGTTAATTCGCATGAATATTTTAATTATTTTTGTGATCACTTCGGACACTCGTGTTTCCCGATCGCTCCCTCGCCTCGATTCGTTACGTCCATTCAACGATTCGATTGGAAATTGCAATGAGAAGAGGGAGAGAGAGAGAGAGAGAGGGGGGGGGGAGGGAGGGGGAGAGGAACGTGTCTGTATTTTTCACGAAATGTCTTATCAGCTGATATGTTTCTCTTTCGTCATCGAACGAATGAACGTTACTGATTAACTCTCGTCAGCAGATGATGTACCTTTCCTCGTATCGCCGGTCGACGACATCTTATTTTTCCTTTTATTTTTTTTTGTGGCTCTACGCTGATGCAATCGCGCCACGCATTGTGCGTACACGCGCCGATACGTGCGCGTGTTCACGTAAACGTGAACATATATCGCCCGTGCGTGACGCGTCGATCGACGCCCACACTTTTGCGTGTGGATCTTATCGCGGGTGCACGCTCATCACGGTATATCTGATATCACAAAGGGGATATACGTCACGCCCGTTTCGCTACGTCATCCTATTTTTCAAATTGGAAATCACGGCGTCGCTGAGGTCATCGCGCGCGCCGCTGCATCACAATTAGTCATTCCGATGAAATTCTGCAGTCATCGAGCTTTCGGTCTGGATTCCTCGTAACGAGACGGAATCGAGATAAATACGAACGTTTCGTCGGGGGGGAGGGGGGAATGTTTCTACGTGTCTCTGTCGCCGGTTTCGGTCTCTCGAATGGCGGAAACTATAAAATTATTTTATATCGATAATAAAAAAAAAGAAGCCTCGCTCCGAATTGGCTTCCAACGTAAACAGCACGTGTTTAAAGGAGATACGGGATTTTCGGTGTTATCAAGAGAGAAAAGTAGTTTTTCTGAATGAGAAAAACACGACTTTGTGCAACGCAGGAGCAACGGAGCAAAACAAGACCTTTAGCACGAAATCATTACAAAATCGTACATATAATTTACTTCTAAGAATGCTAACGTTGTCACAACATACTGCGCTATCCACATACTTTGTAGTGACGAAGTCTTGTGTCGCATTGCTCGACATAATTTGCATTAATTAGATTTAGTTAATGTCTTAACCGTCGGCCAATCACTCGCACTCATTCCAATTGTAGAAAGAAAATGAATTCGCATTTGCATATTACTTCGACATTAACTTCTCGCCTTTCACCGTTTCGATTTACAGAATGCGGACTTACAAAGTCCGTTAAATGCCTAGCGCTCGCACCCGCGCAATTATAACCACTCCCGAGTATTTTCCACATGAATTATCGTAAAACGATCTCACAAATTAGGTTTTTAAATAATCAGTCGCGGTCACGAGACTTTCGCGAACGTAAAAAGTAACCGGAAGGTAAACGGTATTTATTCCTTGTATAATACCCTCGTCTCTTGTACACTGTTAAATTCATAGTGTTAAATTATATCCAATTTGAGTTATTTTTAATCATTCCTAATAAGTCGCCATACTACTTCCTTATACTCAATATATCGTCAATTTAAC